TACAACTAAAATCAGCTCAGCCAGGGAAAGATTTATTTATTTTAACTAAACAAACCTGTTCAAATCTCCAACCATCTGACATTGTAGAAACCATTTGAGTGAGTTCATCTTCATGGCACTGCAGTACTCTGTATACATGTTTCTTAGATTGAAGCTGATGAGGAAATGACACCAAATTATTCATGAGGGTGAAATATCATGTAACTTTGTATTATTAATAAAGTATTCATAGTTGAGTATTTGTCTCACAATGTGATTACTTCCAAGTCATGACCTCTAAGAACAGTTTCCCATTCAGTGTTGGAAAAAGCAAAACCAAAGGAATTCTACCAGCCAATCAGAACAATGGTTTAAATTATATTTAGCCAAAAAGAGCTCAAAGTGAGAACAAGGAAACTTCTTAAAGCACAGGAAATGCGAGTGAACAAGTCAGAATTGTTTTTAGTTTGGCATCTGATTGGTTGCGAAAATGGTGAGAATTTTCTGGACCAATAACAGACTACATGAAGCCTTGTATGTTGCTTTGATTAGTCACCCTCAAAACAACAAAAGGAGCAGTAGAACGGAAAATTTGGAAAATTCCAGAAGCATAATGCCCACAACAAGAAGCACAACTTGTTTCAATGATTCACCTTAAAAGAGGAAAAAGGTCAGAGTACTTACTGGGATCTTTTGACGTGCCTCTCTTGACTGTATTCTTTCCTTTATTATTTTAACAAGAGGGTCAATATTATAAAATTCTGCTTCTTCTAATACACCTAAGAAGAATGAATAACATTTAAATATATTGGAACCCTTCTCTAAGTAATAGACTAATGATTACAAAACTAGTTTAATTTTTTAAGGGGAACAGGTTTTTATTAAATTTCTCATTACAAAACTACCCTTAAAGCATTAATGTAAAGATCATGAGAGTTATGGAAATGATCAGCAATTCAAGAAGTTACTAGATGGTCAAACAAATTCTCCTTGCCGTTACCACTAGAAATGTAGAAGTCACAAGTTTCCCTTTTCCATACATATCTGTATGTTGCTGTTAACAGATTTACAAGAATATCTTTGTATTTCATTGCAAAGCCTGAATTAAAGTAGTTGTTCTTATGTTTTCCTACAAAGTTAAGAGTGGGAAATGGTGTGTAGCTGGCTTAACTTGATGGAACACATGCAAATGACCCAAAAACTCCCATGAGAGACCAAGAAATAATTCTCCTTACAATAACAATACAATATCAAACAGGCAAGTGATGAAAATAAAGAGAACTATTAACTAGGTGATTAATATTTGTTCAAATAACAAATTCTCTACACTAACATCAAATGAATTCAATGACAGACCGTAAAGAGGATTACTGATGAGATCTTGGGAATGAAATGGTTACTTTTGTTGTGAGACTTCCTAAGCAACTCCTGTCAGCATGAAGGTAAGCTGCTGTTCACATAGCACTACAGGCTCACTAAATTAGTTTCCCAACTTTTTTGGGGGGTATTCTTCACTCCTTTTCTTATTGTTCATGTCACAAATCAGTTTTGGAAGCAAAACACTTCTGATGAATAAAACAGTACTGTCTATGTATGTCATAATCAGAGAGAGCAACCATCATTCACAACTCATGTAAATTAGTTGAGTGTCATGTAGCCATCTGTTTGCATTGAAATTATGTGTGTTAAAATGGATTGCTCTTTTTATTTGTGAAACCTAAACAGAATATTCATTTAATTTCTTTACTTTGCAGAAAATTACTAGTTAGAAAGTTGAGGGTTCCTTTCTGTAAATAAATCCTTGTAACAGACAACAGAGCTGTACATAACGTGTTCAGAGCTCACCGACTATTATAAAATGTTCCAGCAGTGCTTGCCAGAATTTCATGCTTAAAATTACCCAAGATGCAACGAAACTTTTTACTTTGGCAGATTTCCCCATTTCAAAAATGCCTAGTACGTTAAAAAAGCGATCACTTTTCGAGTTTTCTTCTAAATCCACCGAGATCTCGTAAATACAAGTTGAAGTTTCTGCGAGTACAGAAACAGAATTGACATGGCGGAATCATACATGAATTCGTAGTTCTGCCACGACAATTGGTATAAGCATGTTTACTCTAAGAAATATTTAGTATGTATTTTGGCGTAAATTTTTACTAACCAGTGAGCCGACACTTGAGCCCCCCAATGCGTCAAGAGAGATTTTGAGAAAGGATAAAACAGCCGAAATCAACAATACTCGTTCTCCGCTGCATATAAGACTTGAATGAGTTCTGCATACGTTAAATAGACTGAATTCTTTCGAACGAAAATTAATTTAGAAGTAGCATGTTCTTTCCACGGCTCAAATGAAGACTTTTTGAAACTAGAGCACACATTAATAAGGCATTTACCAAGAGAACGTCCAAGCCCATACGCTTCAAGCCAAATGTTTACTTAGCAAAATGCCAAAAGCGAAGTGAACTTCGAACCAAGAATCTTAAATACGTTAACTTTCAATGCTCTCACCTTCTTCAAGGAGGTCTTTATCGATTATAAGTTTGCCATGTCGTAGATAGTTTAAAACAGGTCCAAAATAGCGAGGATCTCGATCTATCATATAAGCACCGCTGTCGTCCTGAAATGTCAAAATGCCTACTTGTTTAGCTGGGTAGAACATTTCACAAATTTTGACTGAAATGCGTATTCTTACCTTGTCCGAGGGTAAATCAGGATCTTCTGCACAAAGTCTATGTAAAAAGGAGTTAGGGTGTCTACAAAGCGTTTGTTTTGTCGTTAAGAAGTACGTTCCACCGACATTTAACTTCACCCAGTTGTTACTTGGAGTAGCCATCTTGTACTCATCATGTTATGAAGATGAATTCGCCGAAAGATAATAATTCGGTAAATCGTATTGATTGGTCGGCAGCTGTGCTAAAAATAGCTTGCTAAATTTAGCTTCTGTTAATTTGGACAAATTCACCTGGCTTCCTTGATCTAAATCTGTAAATTCCCAGTACAGAAAAAGCGTTTTGAAAAGAAAACTTTGCTTACGAGGGCTTCCGATGATTTCCGAAGGGTTCCGACAAAGAAGCACAATTTTCAGAACGCCCACGCAAAAAATGTAAAGCATGGCCTTTGAATTGGTGTACAGCTGCAATGGAAAATAAGTTTAAATTCTCGGTGATTTCTTCGTCGGGTCCAATTTTCTCCTACACTGTCAAAACGAAGCGTCTAAAGTTATTAAAACTATCCATAAATTGACAGTGCTAGGCCATTTTGATCGGTTTTTGGTCAAAAAAGTTTGGTCTACTAAAAACTTGGTCTTCCTCTAAATGCTAATAGCCAGTTGGCTGAAAGAAAGAAAGAAAAAATTAATTAACCGAGCTTTCTCTCAAAAGTTTCTTTCACTGGTGAAGGAAAAAAGTTATAACTTTCTTTGTTTAAGACTTGTTTGATCATCGATTATTTATTTGTGGAATCTATAAAAGATAATTTTGTATTCATAAAGCAGTAAAAAAAATTTAAAAATTTAAAAATTTTGTGAATCGTGGAGTCATGCTAAAGTTCCTTCCACAGACCAAAAGATGAATTTAAAAGTTCCAATTTAAAAATGATGGCTATATTTCCTCTCACTATAAACAAAAAGGAGATGATGCTTTGTTGAACTGCCTGAAATGGCTTTTTAAAAAGGGTAGAGGGGAGGGGGGGGGGGTTCCTGGTTCCTGCACACGTTTCACGCACATTAAAAAATAACAATAAGGCATCACGAAAAATCGGATAAACGGCTTTGAAGTTCACATATCGCGAAAGGCAACACAAAAGTACAGTTCATGGGGTTTTAATTTCGTATTTCCGCTGTTCACGAAAATTAAGAACTCTTAATCCCTTATCGCGCGATATTCCTCTCCCCCCCTTTAAAAAGTATACCAGCTCAGATGAGGTTGCAGGTGAACGTCAAATGTGTGGGCATCTCTTACAGACATATTCTAATAAAAGTTTTCTCCTTCGTGCTCTGATCTATTTTTTCTCCTTCAATTCCCTCCCACTCATCCTCCCACTTAGATTGAATGTCTCTATTTTTAAGCGCGGGGGAGGTTAAATCATATTTCAATTTCCCCCTTGTGTAGGTGATATTTTAACTAATATTAAACTAACGCAGCTGCTCTCATGCGACAAACAATTTTTCTAACTGAAACCCGTCGTTCGACTGTAAAATTACAGATTTACGTGATTTCAGACGAAATAGAAACCTCCCACTTCAAATACCATTATGGAAACAATGAGAATTTTCAAGAAGATAATGAGCGAAGGGTACAATTTCTTATACCTTTAGATCTTTTCCAGCTTTTCATTATGAATATATAGTATGCATATTTTTTTTACGTCAAGAAATAAAGGGGGTTAGTCTAAAGAAACCTTGTGCTGCGTCGGTGGGAGAGCATAACAAGGTAATTTAGTATTATCAACGGAGTTGATGATGTAAATTGGCCACCGTAAAGAGTTCAAAAGCTGACGTTTCGAGCTTTAGCCCTTCGTCAGAGCGATTGGGAATTACCCTGAATGAATGATCTGGAGTTTTTCTCCTTCATACAACTTCACAAAAGACTGAAAAATTCTGGATTAGATACTGCATCCTTGGAATCCAAAACTAACAGAGTGACCTGAGGTAATCATTTTACGCTACATTCAAATCGTCCTTAGAAATCTGATACTTACATATTGCAGATTTTATGAGATAAATTTGCATGATATTAAAATTATGTGGGAATGACGTAAGAAAATGCGACTAATTACGTGAAATTGCATTTACTTCAGCACGTATAACCTGGACTTCCACGTGCCCCACCTTCAGCGTGCATACCTGCCCCACCCGTGGGAAAACTTTTTAACTTGGAAACGAGGTTTACGTTTGGCGCGTTGAATAAACTCACGAAGTGTTTCTGTCGTTACTTTCAAAAAGGGAAAATACACATAGATTTGAATAGCATTTGATTTTGATAGGAATTCACTTTTAAAACAGTCTTCAAACTTCGACAGATATGACTGCACGTCAAAAATCGCGTTCAGATCGCAGTTTCAATCTTTTATCGTTAGGTAAGATTTACCCGAGGATTTCACACTTGACTGTTACTTTTGAGTTTCATATCACTGCGAAATTGAAAGCAATGTACACATTACAAGTTGTACCAATATGTATTAAGCTTCCTGACATGCTTTGTATAGCGATTTTTCGTTGCAATTTTTTGATTAAGACTTAAGTTATCGCGATCATTATCAGTCGATGAAGATCCTAGGCGTTACTTCAAAACGAATTGTCAAGCTTTACCTAACAGAAATAACGTTTGTTAGTTTTTCAATTGTGCTTCTCTGTATTTCTGTCCAATCCTGTTCAGCTTGTTTGTTTCGGTAGTTCAAACTTTGAACTATTTTTGTGTTTAAGTTTAGTTAAAAAGTAGCTTTGAATTTTTGCACTCTGCGAAATTAAAATTTGTGATGATGCATTCTTGAAAACCTGTGACTTTCTTTTCTATTAACAGATGATACTCCTAAGAGACGCAGCACAAGAAGTCGAATTTTGACAAGCACACCTAGTGCAGTTGACAAAAGGGTTTCGGAAGTAATAGAGAAACAATCAGGTTCTACTCGGGTAGTCAAGCGGTCAAGTACAAGTCAACAGAAAGATACATTGTTCAGCGATGATGAGGTGGATCACAGTGAGCCGTTAGTCCATTCTGATAAAAATCATAATATCGCCAACAACACCTCAACGTTTGACGATAGACCAGAACACTTGTACGGTAAGAACAGCTACAGCTGCTTTTATTATTAATTGCATTAATTACCAATAGGTGGAGTTGTCTAAGAGGAAGGGTTGTACCGGTACTCGATAAAGTTGTCTGCAAGTATACAGGGGTTCTACGCTAAGATGGAAGACTTTTCCTTTTCTGGAGAATGCCCCTTTGTAAAACCGGGAGTTAACTACTTTCATCGAATGACAGTGTCCACAAAAAATTTTGCAGAGTAAAGACAAAAGGGGGGTTTGGTTTGAGTAATTTGCCTCTCACCCAATTTTCTTTAGAACAAACCATCCCAGTTTATGATTATGTAAATCTATACCTCAACATGTGCCACCCCATCCCTTTTAAAGACCACGATCCTATAAAAGGAATCTCTTTTGGACAGGGTATCTCTTTGAGGTTTCAATCCCCCCACCCCAATGTGTGGTAGATGCTGTGACCCAGCCATCAGTGGACTGGAAGGATCAGGCCCATGATTTGGGCCCATCCCTTAATCAGGTCCTGATTATTCCATTGGGTGGCAGAACATCAGTGCCTCTCTTCACCAAGGAGTGTAATGTTATAGTGGGGAATTGTCTAGGGAGCCTAACAAAATGCTGACTGAGCACAAAATTAATGAGTTTTATATTATTAAATGTCCACCATTGCTACATGAGGAAATCACATGAATTTTACTTTTCAGGCTTAGACAATTCAACAAAAATTTTGTCAGGGGGCAAAGATGAAAGTGAGAGTGTTCAAGCTAAACCAAGATCTAAGGTAAAAAAAATTATTTTATAAGTTCTCTCAGACTTAACCCAGGAAAAATTTTGTTTCTCTAACCATTTGGCCGTGCTGTCCCACTTGTTGCAAGAAATTATGTTGAGTAGGGATTGATCCTCCTGGACTGAGGATAGATCTTAAGTAGTACTTCAGTTGCCTTAAAAAATTTTGAGATGATCATAATTGATGATTTATTTATTCAAATACACAGCATCTCATGAAATGTTTGGTAGTTGTTATTGCTTGCCTCTGCTTCATTTTTCTGATGGCTTTGATGGGATTACTCTCAGACCATCTTAAGCAAAAGGTAACTTAAGACTCTTCTTGTTTTACCCTACCAACAGCAACTTAAGAACAACTCACAGCATGTTGCAAAGAAAATGTAAAAAACTCCTTTCAACATTCTGCATTCTTACTTCATAATGCATATTCTCCATATATTTTCTAAGGTGTTGACAGGGAGAATTGTTTAACAATGAAGGGCTTCCTTGGTTGGTGATCATTTATTTTATCCTTTTGACCTTAAGGATGTGATTTAGGGGTGAAATTATGGGAAGAAACTAAATTCTATCTTATAGTCATGCGGGTTGAAGGGTTGGGTGAAATTAATTTGGGCAATGAAAAAGAAACTTGTCCTCCAAGCTATTTATAACTAAATGAAATTATAACCTTTTGAAATTCTCACAGAGATAAGATGGATTTGGACAATGAAAAAGAACTTTTTATTAAACAATTCATATTGTGTTTAACATGCTACCTTATGATCATTAATTACTAAACAGCAACACCACGGAGATGATACAGCAGAAATCAAACTGTTGAAAAATCGTATTAGGAAACTGGAACAAGTACAATCCCGCCAGAGCATAAAAAGTAAGTGATTACAGCACAAGAGTAAGTGTGAAGAAATGCCAGCTCCACTTGTCCTGTAAAGCACTTTTCCAAGGAAGGAATGGAGAGGGGTGAAGATACAGAACCAGCTGTATCTATTTCTCATCTCCCTTTCAAAGGCAGGGGGGAAGGTTGGGTAAGGATACAGACAACACCTATGAAGATTTCTGTGCTTTGAAAATAAGAGTTGAAATTGGATAATTAAATTTAAAGTGTTAATAGACCAATATCAGTAGCAACTTATGTACCATTATAAAAATGATAAACTTACATGATCAAAGCATCAATTTGATTATAAGGAAAAGTGTAATTGTTTTTTGAGAAGGGGAGGTGGGGTGTGAAAGAAATTGTGGCAGACTTCAATATAACCAGAGACACTGGAGAACTCGAGATTTCAGGCTTAGAACTTTTTGGAAACAATACCGGTTTTGACTTCTGTGAATGTATAAATATATTACAATCAATTTCATTCAACAGAGGTTTTAGTCACCACATTTCTGAGGTCATCTCCGGCTTCCTTTGATTTTATAACTACTAAAAAATGTGGTTCCTTTAACAGCAAACAGAGAACATGCTTACCAGAAAGTTTTACTAAAAGGCCAGGTATGTAGAATATTATCACGTATGCAGATTTAGTTGAGGGAACCCTCTTCCAACTCTGGTGTGTTGTACATTATATTGATTTCATTAAGCTTGATTAGATGGCATAAGGTATATGTGCATAATTTATAGTACTGCATATATGTGCATAAGGTATTTTCTGGGTGGAGGGAACTTATACAGCCAAAATCTTGTGAGGAAAAAGATCTCTGAGGTTAATTCTCCTAATCCTTTCTGTCTCAGCCCAGAGTAACTTAAAAGGAATTTGTATTTTTGTTATTGTGAATTAAGCTAGGGTTAAACACTTGGTTTTATATTTGTCTCCAGTCAAAAACCTGGGAAGGAGAACCTGTGGAAAATAAAATTGAAGAAGCACTTCGTCGTTGGGATGCGGACAAGATTGGTATCCCTGATTACGCCTTGGAATCAGCAGGTTGGTACTTGATTTAGTGCTGAAATTTAACACCAACCTTTCTGTCTAATTCATCATTTTCTTTATTTGGTTGGAATCACTTGAAAGGTGGTCAGATACACGGTTCAAATCATTCTCCTACCTTTGCTAATGGAGCCATTCCTCAAGTGTTACTGTTTGGTATCCCTGTGTGGTATGAAGTCAAGCTACCAAGGGTGATCATTCAGGTCAGTAGCGGAGCAGATAGCGAAGTACTCTATGGTCTGTTCTTCGGAAGCCTTAGTGTTTCCAAGTTGGCGTGCATTTACATGGATTTCTCATGATTTTTAAGTAAAGTCACGATTTCAGGTTGCTTAGTAGAGTAATTTACAAATGAATCTCGAAAATTATTTTAAATTTTCTTGGTTAGCTTTACTTTGCCCTGTGATTGGTCCAGAAAACTCGTGTCATTCTCTCAACCAATCAGATGCAAAAGTAAAACCAATTACGCCTTGCTCACTCACAGCTAGTTCATTTTTACTTAGCCCTCCCATTGGTTCCTTGTGATATTTTCCCTTGCTCTGATTGGCTGTGGTGATAATTTGGTTTTGTTTCACAAAACTCTGTCAAAAAGTGCTCAAAAGCTCCAAGTTTTGGCAGTCACGCTGTGTACGTCTTAATACATCATCAGTCAGCTTGCACCGCGCGAGCATACAAATATTTGTATTTCATTTCCAAGATTTGTTTTGACTTTGTTTTTCTTCGTTTAATTTTAGCCTGGAAGCACCCCTGGAGAATGTTGGGCTTTTCATGGGAGCTCTGGTTTTGTCGTGATCAAGGTTGATATCAATCGATCAGTTTAATTATACATTTTGACATCTCCATTTGTTATTCTTTTATTTGCTAGTTTGTTGTGGTGAACGTCACTGTTTGCAGCTCGGTGGAACATGCAACCAATCACAAACAATGCAACAACTACAATACTACAACTACTTACAATACTACAATGCTGCATCAACGCTACAATTACGTACAATTAATGACGGCATGATGGTCTTGCAAGTTAGCTTGCAACCAGGCCTTCTTAATTAGTACTGTAGGACGCGCTTTTTTCCGCCTGCGGGAGGAGTTGAGACGAGCTGGGGAGAGATTTGTTTGCCGGGGGTCTGAAATTTCAGTGCTAGACCTTCTTGTTTTAGGCTTCATACTTTCTCGCGGGTGAAGAAACACTCGTGCCGAAATAGGGCCCGCTCGCAGGCCATGGCCAATTCAGGCAATTAAAAATAAACATTACTTACAATTCAATCGTTTACTCACAATACGTACACAGCATTCCGACTATTTATATGAAAGTTGGAACAAATAAATAACTGATAGAGAACCAAAAAATTACTTGTAGTCGATGAAATAATACTTTATATTGTTTTTTTTTTTACCAGCTTTCCCGTTTGATCAAACCCACTTCTTTCACATTGGAACACATGGCCACAACTTTGTCCCAGTTTGAAGATCACAGTATTCCAAGTGCGCCTAAAGAATTCTCTGTCTGGGTGAGTAAGGAACACAATCACTTAAGCAAAGCTCGTTTCAATTCGCAGTGTCACAGATTTTCACAGAAATTATTTATCCCACACGAAGCGAATTTTCGGTGCGACTTGTCGTGTGTAAGATGGTCTGGAAACGCGCTCTACCCTCTAAACCAATCAAATGCCACACTAAGCCCAACCACGACCTGGTCATCCGCGTTTTCCCGCGCGTTTGTCGGCTTGTTTTTACGATGAGTTTTCGTTGGCTCTTTACGGTATTTTGCTATCTTCTGATTGGCGGTCATGATTACTTTGATATTCCTTTAAGGATACTGAGTCGAAAAGCGTGCTAACATCGACAAAACCTAATCTACGTCAATCCCTCGATTGCACTTTCCGGTTCCTTAAACTATGCTGCGGTGATGTTTACAAAGCTTTTTTGAGTATGATCAGCACAGACTGACACGAATTCTCAATTAGTTTGGTTGGTTATCAACAATAAACTGTTAAAGGCACCTTAGCCCACCGCAGCAAATTTTCCACGGCTGACGTTTGGAGAGTGACCTCTTCCTCAAACAGTCAGCTCTTCGAACATTCGCTACGGCGGCAACTTTTTGTTTCACTTGTCCATCACCGCTTCCCAACAGTTTCTTCATAAACTCATAACCGCGTTCATTTGCCTTTCCACAGGGCTGGGCTGATGCCCGTGGTAGTGAAAAGGTACTATTGGGCGAGTATTTGTATAGTGATAGAGGACACGCTCTTCAAAATTTTCCTGTACAGGTGAGGATAAAATAGTGCTTCCAAGTTGATCCCACCGATGATCGTTACAGCTGTTACTAAGTACTTGAGTGACGTTTTTTTTCGCTTTTGGGTTTAGGCGACCACCGTACCAGAATTTCGATATATTGAGCTCAAAGTGCTTTCCAACTATGGGAATCCTGCCTTTACCTGCCTGTACAGATTTAGAGTGCACGGACTGCCGTACAAAACATATAACTAACACACACGATTACTCAATTTTGCAAAGTAGGAACAGTTTTGTAATGTAAATATAATTCAAAGTAAAAGTAAAGACTGTAAATGGGAGCGTATATTTTTGATATTGGTTTCTATGTTGTTGCGTATAGGATAACCTTGATTATACTTTGTTTCTGCCAAGTTCATTAAGCTCTGTGATTGGTCTTAAATACTCACACCGCTCCCTCGACCAATCAGGTACGAAATTAAACCATGCAGATAAGGTCACGTCACGTGCCTTTCTAGATCTCATAAGCTCCTAGTAATATATTTCTCTGTTGAAGTTCGACGTCGTGCGCAGATTGATTTTGCAACACTCAATCGAAAAGCGCTTTATCGAAGTAAGGTAACCAGCTTCGTACGAAAAAAAAGTATGTTATCATATTGGTATTAAAGTCTAATTAATGAGAATTTTCTTAGAATATCAACAGGAAAGCATAAAAAAAGATTGACTTCCACTTTTTGATGTAACAATGCTAAGGCATCAGTTTTAACTGATGTTTGGCGACGTTTAGTCACTCCTTAACTGAATTTGCCTGTGAGTAAAATGTTCGAGTCAGCTTTGCATTTCCATCTACATTCACAGGCCATTTGACCGGATTAAAATGACAATTTTTTTCTTCCTTTTCCAGCGATTTCAACCATCATTTGAACTGAAAATGATAACACTTAGTTGTTATGCCGTCAATCAAGACTTAAATAACTAATTTTTATCTTGAAATGCTTTTTGAATACTTTGTGTCAATTGCTCTCTTCTAACATTATCAGTTATACCGAACGAAATTCGTAGTTGCGTGGTTGGCTCCAAATTAAGTGGGCCCAGTTTGTAAACCAGTAGATATCATGATGACTTTTCAATATTTTTTGTTTTATTCTCGTTCCTAATAATCAAGTGATAGCGACATAAAAATCTGCTAAAACCCCGCGTCTCACTATATGTAGAGTTTTAATTTAAAGCGTCCTCTAAGCTTAGGTTGAATTCCTGTTTCCAGTATGGCACCTTTACCTTATAGGCTATGAGTGAAAAATCGTTAAAAGAAAAGTTGACCGCGATCCTTGAAAAGAAGCGAAACATCCATGTAGAAAGAGCTAAATACTTGTTTTATTACTGGGTTAAGGCTATACATTTCCTATAATCAAAGAGCTCTTGTTATTTGGGGTAAACAAAATCTCTTGCTGAGTCCAGTTGTATGAAATGCGGATAACGCTATCCAACAGATAAATCGCTATCCGGATAGCAAAACGTATAGCGTTATCGACCGGATAGAGTTTTATCCAGTGGATAGCGTTATCCAACCTTCGAACAATCGGGGCCTGATGTTTGAGGATCGCAGTATTCCAAGTGCTCTCATAGAATTCTCGGTCTGGGTTAGTAAGGGACTTAGTCATTCATTTCAACAAGTTTTTATCCGTCTAATTTATCGTAGCATCAAATTTGGGGTTTAACAAAATCTCCTGCTGATGTTTTCATCCTTCTGCCCTCAACATTGAAAGCAGAAATTACTTATTGGTCACCCCTGATAATAAAATAGTTAAACAGGTGCTCGTTATAATGCGGAGTTGACAGTTTAATGGATGGCAATTTTTATGGCTTTACAATTCATCCCCAAATGTAATTTCTCGCTGGATTTGGATTATTTGACTTCTGTGATCAGTGGATAAACTGGCATGCTCTCATACGCACACTATCACAGAGAAAAGAAAGTTGAAAGGACGCAATGAATGCGACGCTTACAACTACAGAATTGTTCTCTCGACAATTACAAAGTCGAACATCGGCAATCCGATTCGTAGAATCTTTTATGATGCTTCTTATCAATCTAACGTCTTTTGCCGGCAATCTTCTGCTTGGAATCGCCGCCATAAAAAATCCATCTCTTGGGAGATCAGTTACCAATTTGTACATCATAACTCTGGCGTTCTCCGACTTTCTTATCTCTTTGTTGGGAATTCCATTTTCAGTAGCCACTCTCATTGTTGGGCGATGGCCGTTCAATAATTTTCTTTGTCAGCTTCAGGGTTTTTGGATTCTCCTTATGTGTGCAATTTCCCTCGAAACTCTCGCCGTTACTGCTGTAAACAGGTATTTTCGAGTTGTGCATTCTCGTGCGCTCTATCAAAAAATTTTCAACGCAAAGAAAATCAGAGCAACGATTGCGATTCTGTGGATCATCGCTTTCCTCGCGCCCCTTCCTTACGTCGTTGCCGGACACGAATTTTCTTTCCATCCTGCAAAGGCTATGTGCGCACACAACTCAGAAAGCCTGCTTAAAGGCTACGGAGCCTTCTTGGTCCTCGTGTACGTAGCCGTTCCATTAATTGTAATCATAGCGTGCTATACCAGGGTGTTCATGAAGGTGCGGAAACACAATTTGAATTTCATCTTTCGGCTTCGAAGTAGTTGCAGATCTGAGCCATCGACAAACCGGTGCCTATCAGTGGACGAAGTTAACGTGACTTACACTCTTCTAGTCGTCGTGACAGGTTTTCTAGTTTGCTGGACGCCTGTTGTAGTAATCGACTTGATCGACTTTCTTAATTCAGATTGGAAACTTAAACGACAAGTGTACGTGAGTTACACTTGTTTCGCCTTCACGAGCGCTTCTCTCAACCCAATCATTTATGGCGTCATGAATCGTTCCTTTCGAATGGAGTACTTGCGCATCTTGGCGGCCTTCAAGTTCTGGTCTTACCGCAGAGGTATTCAAGTTGAAAATCGTATCATAAAAGTAAAAGAGGATGTAACTCTTGAGATGAGACAGATAAAGTAAAGGAAAAAAGAGGAGAGAAAGCAACAACACAGACACTTTCAAAACTTGCAGTTTTAATCATTATAAATGAGGAGTTTGGTTAGTCAACGAAACACTCTCTTGGGTAGATTTACATTTTAGAATTTGTCTTTGAGCTGGCTGTTGAATACTATACAATGTTTAGAATTTTTCCGTGGAGTTTCTGTCATTGTGGCTTTTTTTAGTTTATTTGGGATCATCGCTGTTAAATTATTAATAGTCTATGTTAGTAAGATAGGTTTTTTGGCTGTTGTGACATCCTGCGCCTATCCTCAATCTTTTTAGCACCGTTGGCGTCAATGTTTTTTTAACTGTGTGATGCTGGGAATCGATTAAAATGAAATATCACATAAACGTTATAAAGTATGCCTAATAGTTTTTTCAAGTATTTTAACATTTTAAAATGCAGGATAAGGCGCACAGAATACAGGAAAGAAGCTTCAATTTGCGTCATTGAGGCACTCGTACTTATGGACGTGGTAATTTCGGCGTTTTTGTGGGGTCTTTTAGCGTGATCAATTTTAATTCAGGTGACATTTTAATTTAACCCAGGTAGAATAAATTAAGCCATCTGACACTCAGTAACTATGAAATACGCATATTACAATTGTTTTTTCTCTCGGCATCAAACGTCACCGGAAAAAAAAGTTTAGTTTAAGATCGGTTCGAGTTGAAGTAAAGATATCTTACTGGCAAGCTTTTATTTCGATTTTCTTTCTTATTGACATAATGTCTTCGTTCTCTTTCTCTGATATATTATCTTAATATTAAGATCAGCTCTTTTTTAGGATAAATGTATAAATGGCATACTCTTAAAAACATCACAAGGAAACAGTTAGCTCTTTTTTGGGATACGAAGTCTGAAGATCGATGGCTATTTGTGTTTCGTGATATGATTTGGGATGAAGATAAATTGAGTGCAAGCTTTAACGTCAAATTTAAAATTTTAGGGAGCATGGCAATATGAAAAGGAATGGCAAAATTACCAAGAGCATCACACTCTTACATTTCTGAATGCACTAGACACAAATCACAAAGTGCAGTGAAACAAACGTAATTCCCATGTAATGTCTTACAAAGCCATGAAGTGCATGGCATTTCATTTTGCTGCGAGGTTGTTTAGTTATGGACCACGGATGATGTAGAAATAAGGAAGGAACATAAAAAGGTGGCAGCTGCAACCTCACTCTTTGGGTCCTCTCTCTTCCTGACTCAATGACGTAAGAGAAAGGACTCTAAAAGACGTGGTTTGCTGGCTAGCTCCCAGGCCGTTACCTCACTCTTCGGAAGAAGGCAGCCTGGACCCGGCCAAGAACTAGGCTACGTCACAGTTCTTAGAACAGAAATATTCCGAGAAAGTTTCGCTCTCTTTAAGCTTTTTTGCCACGGACGACTTAACAGACAATCGTTAATTAACAATTTTAATCAAATTCGTCATTAAAAGGATTACAACTGACAACGAAGCTGGTAATTAGCTTATTGGAGAGGAGAAAAATTTAAAAAGTAGCGTCATGTTTCGAAACTGTCATTTGACGGAATGAAATAAAAGGAAGAGAAAGCCTTTATTGCCCTTTTGTTTTGACGAGATCAGTGGCTTTCAACAAAGCACCTTATTTACATGCACGGATAACAAAGCAACCTTTACGTAAGGTGTGAAACGATTTAACGTAATTAATTTAGCTCTATAAGGTCATTGTATAGTCGGGCTTTGTGAAAAATGCACGCAAGAAAGAAGTAGAACAAAAAGTGAGCCACTTGAGTTAACAAGTTTCTCCCCCACGAAGCTTGGCGACGTGTTTTGATAGAAACGACGGACTAACGCAACAACAATCTATCGTAGAGATCGGTGGAAAGGGTAATATAAGCAATCAACAGGTTTATTTGCACAAAGACTTATTAAATCGATCCTGAGTGTCGAGTAGAATCCAGACGTAAATACAGACGTTTGCATTCGTTCTGTTCTTGACAAGTTATGGCTAGCGCGCCTCGAGAGAGCTTACAAGTGGAGCCTGCAGTGAAAGCTAGAGGAGCAAACCATGATTTGCGGCAGAAAAACAACCGCGCCTCGCACAACTGGCAAAAAGTCAGGCTTGCGCTGGAGATGGAAAAGAAAAATTGGGTGAAAGGAGCTCAAGATGATCGTAATAAACTCTTGAAGCAACGCGAAGTGCTACGGAACACATCGTTGAATCTATCAAGTTCCGATTCGGTTCAAACAGAGGAAGGAGCCTCCGCACAACTTAAGCCACGTCCGCTGTCTTTGAAAGATGTATACGATGTGTTGTTAAAGTCTTCTAAACAACAGCCAAACAACAACGGATCCGACGTGAAAAGCGTAAAATCCGAACCAGCGCCAGCTTTAGACAGACGCCAATCGACTGTAAGCTTTGAACAGAAGCGAGTGAGCAGAAAACCAATCACTTTCTCTTTGCACGGACTACAGAAAGCAAACAGCAATCTGCAGAGTAAAAAACAAGCTATGGAGAAAGCTCAACAGCGGGTTCTCACAGCTGAGGATTCAAATCAAATCGAGCGACCTCAATCTGGACCACCGCCAAGCCATTTCGACTTGAACGAGGAGGAACTCAGCTTAGGACCGACGCTAAAACTTCCACCAACCCATCTACCACCCATAACGAAGGGCATCTCTTTTAAACCTCATGTTCGGAGTTTTAAAAAGGACGAAGAGTTTAAGAAGCGAACAAAAGGCGGCGAACATTCATTTGATGATATTCGCTACTGCCGATATCTACGAAAGAGAGGGCGTTCAAGGTCTGATACAACTGAACCAATGAAACTGCATCAACAGCGCCGATCTGCTAGATCTTTACCCTCATAAAGACGAGGTAACGACAAGAAATAAATTGTAATGGAAAAAGAACAAGTGGTTTGATATTGCGTCGATCGAAAGTACTCTTGTTACGAAAGGAGGCTGTTCATTTGCATTCAGGTCTTGCGCCTTCTCATTTCACGCTCGACACAAGCCATTGCAGTTTTCTTTAATCGACGCCAGGTTTTTGGAAGTTCACAACACGAAATAACGAGGAAGAAACAAAAGAGATAATGCGCCGTCTGGCAAAATAAACAACGGTGAGGAAGATCAGGACAAAGGAAACAGGAAAACGATGTTATGAATTTTTATTATGTGGGTTATAAATAATAACTTTGCTTTATTGAAAAAAAGAAAGCAACTTATTCAAAAAATTGAACTCGTAACAACTCAATGTAAATTTAAAAACAAAAAGTGAATCTAAATGAAACGAGGTAGAAATAAAATCTGAGGAAGTTGTAAATGATTGCTATTCAAGAATCAAGATAATAACACGAGGATATTGGAATAATAAAATCAATTCTAGACATAGATGTTTCTGAATACTTCGTGCAATAATTTCAATACATTTGAAAATCGGCTGTCGAGAAAATTCTACCAACATGCAAGAAATGACTGGAATGTGTTTTTCAATTCAGAATTAAATAACTCACCCAAAGTAAACGTTTATTCAAATGAATAAAATGTTTTTTTGTAATAACTATTCATAACCTTATCAGTTTTATAAGTCAAAAGAATACGGTTAATGTAAAACGTCCGCGCGAAAATTCTGAATATCTTTAAAAAAAACTCTAATCAAGAGTTGGTTAGTATCTACGGAGCAAAAATTTGCTTGGATACGGTAATAGCAGGGCTTTATTGCGTGTTTTGTCGACAAATACATGCTTTATTTAAATTTCAAACGAAGCACTTAAGTATATTTGCATTACAACAGTTTGTCGCGCTCACGAAATGACGTTTATTGCAGAGGTCACGGAAAGATGGTCACGTGATCATGCGCTGTCAAATGTAAAGCGGAAAGTCGAATTGAAAACTAATTGTACTTTAGGTGACATTCAGAACAGGGCTAGGTCAAGGTATGACAGGTATTAGTCATCCATTCTGACAAGATCATCAAGTTTCTCTGCTCCTTAGACTACACCAACAACAGCCATTCTTGTTCCCAGGGCCTATCTTCTTATTGTCTCCAGGAGCGACAGAACCAATGAGCTCTAACGAGTGCTTAAGGAAGAGAGACCCTGGGAACGAGTTTGGACTCGAGCTCAATTAGCTCCTCAGGCCGCCCTTCAGTCTTTTTTACGAACAGATCGCTTGGAATGGACAACAATCCTTTGCAGTCGTAATCAATTTTGTCCAGTTATACTACTTTGTGCTTTCTTCACTGTTTTCCATCCAATTGGCTACCCCTTTATACTCCTGTTTCTTTACATTTCTGAAATTTACTTGTTTGAAGAAGGGTGGCTATCATTGCAGGCAAAAGATGAAAAGCATGTTTTAGGAGGGAACACATCGGGCATTGTATTCGTGGGTCTTCACTAGTTCGGATCAGATTATGCTGGCATTATTTTGCGCATAATGCTATAGTCAGAGCATCGAGCATAAATGCCGGCAAATTGATGATGGGCTTCTGATTAAACTTCTTAAAAATTCCCTTGATGTTAAAGTTCAACAAGAGATAAATTCTGTACCCTGAATACTGTCAATAGCTAGCCTGCTTTTCCTGCTTGCACTTTAAGAATAAAGAATTGCTCCATGCTTAGCGTACGTATATCGAGTTATGAATTCACGCGAGAAGTTTGGAGAGCACGGGAGAAGCGTAAGAGTTGTACGGGGCTGGGCCCCGGGCAACTCTAGCTTCTTGCGTGCTCTCAAAACCTCCCCATGTGCATCCATAACTTGATATACGGACAGTTAAAGCATGAACCTATTATTTTATAACATAACATGCAGACACAAGTTGTGCTTGAAAAAAAAAAGGCTTATTACACCTTTTTCGGGTTGATCAAGTGATAGTGTTCTACCCGAAAACCATGAATAAATGACAGAGCAAAAACGACCAAGAAATATTTCGAGACCAAATCTTTATTCAAAGAATTGTAAATTTTCTGTTTAGAAGCGAAAAACGAACGAGTTTGTTGCATGTACGAAACTGCGTAGTAGTGTCATACATGTTGTATTGGGTTTATATTTTACGTTTTAAAGGGCCAAACTGAAACGCCTTACCCCCATCAGACCAAATCTCTGGTTCACGGTCTTCTCTCTAGTAGCCTTCGTGTCGTCGTACCCTCTCCCCCCACCCCTATGGTGAAACGGAGGCGAGACAACCTTCCGTTTCACTTTGGGGGGAGGGTACGGCTACACGTAGATAGCTCTCTAGCAAGACGGTGGCAAAGGTGGGGGGGGGGGGGGGGGTTCCAATCACACATCACGCTGAATTTTTCTATTAAATCACGGATAATTTTTTTTAACCAATCACACGTTACGAAAAAAAGGAGTAAGTACGCTAAGCTAATAATGTAAGTTTTCGACCCAACGGATGTATTATTAAAAATTATATTGCATCCAACGTTTTTGTTATCCTGGAATGAATTGCGTTTCACTTTTTTTAAAATTTTAATTGTAATTGATGTATTTTAACAGGGAAAAGCCACCTGGTGGATCTGTTTATAAACCATTATTATTATTATTATTATTATTATTATTATTATTATTATTATTATTATTATTATTATTATTATTATTATTGTCATATGGCTTTTTGCCGGTCAAATAAAGTCGACTTGTCGAAACTAAACGCTCCGAGTGCGTTTAGTCGGGCTTCGTATCGCAATATCAAATCGTACTTTACAAGTATCGAACTTAGAAAAAGTCAAATTAAAGAATCAAGATATTTAACACAAGAGTCAAGCTTACGTATTTACTATTCAAGTTGGTTCGTTGAGTATCCTCTTCATCCAATAGCTTGTTGTTTTCCTCACCTTCGATGTTCACGAAGATTTTTTATTTTTCCAATTCAACATCTGAGGTGTTCGTCTAGGCATCATAGTCATCATTTAACAATTGGTTCATATGTCAGCGTGCGTTCATCGAGATATGAAGCACGCGAGAAGTTTGGAGAGCGCGAAAGATGCGTAACAGTTGCTCGAGGCGTAGCCGAGAGCAACTCTAGCTTCTTGAGTGCTCTCCAAACTTCCCAAGTGCTTCATATCTCGATGAAAGCACAGCTGACGTATGAACCAATTGTTTTATAACACTTTCAACCCGAAGGAAAACTTTTTTCTTGAGGGATTTGTTTGCTGACGTCATGAGCGTGCACAATAGGAATATGAAGCACGCTCGCGCAATTGAATTTGATTACACAAATTTACTAGCTATGTTATAAAGGTTGTTGTTTAATAAGTCAGTAGTCGTAGTTTTGACAATGTTTTCGTAGTTTGAACTCATTCATGACCCATTAGTTATCTCGTGAGAACTGTTAAGAACTTTGCTAATTTGGCTATCTTTCAATATTTGCGGCCACTCGTGGCTCCAAGAGGCTTGCGTACAAATTGAGTAGACGTCTTCGTCATCTTAACTATTTTTTGAGATACGGGCAATATTTATGTCAAAGCTTTGCCCAATCTCCTTCTGTACGGCAACTATCTTTATGTCAGGAAAGGATATAACGTGGTTTTTGAATTCGTTTAGGTCTTAGTTTACGTCTAATTTGGCTATCTTTCAATTTGCGGCCACTCGTGGCTCCAAGAGGCTTGCGTACGAATTGAATAGACGTCTACGTCACCTTAACTATTTTTGATACACACACAGTATTTGTGTCACGCGCTTGTAAAATAGCAAACACGTATCACGTACGTTGTGAGGACACCGATAATTTGGGTTCGATCACGCGTCACCCTGCGAGTTGTGTGGCCGTCACGCGTGTGCCATCAGTAGTTGTTGACAGTTGGTAGTTATTCGGATAGAAGACACGCTCGATTACTGTTAGAAGCACTTGTGTGATTCCTAAATGACAAATGAATAATGGGAATTATACAACAAACTAAATACCTCGTTCTGAAAAATTTCCACATCAAAAAACGGAACAAGCGGGAAACTTTGCAAGAGATACTCATCCCAATTTGGTGGATTGTGCTGTTGGTGATCATAAGAAGAACCATCCCGACGGAGCTAAAACCAGCTGTAGGAGAAAATGAAATACCTACAGCGAACATTTCCAGCATGGGACTGGCTGGATCGCAGGGAAATGCGGGCTCCAAGCCAAATATCGGCTACGTTACCAACAATCTCGCAAGTGCCAGTCCGGTTATGGAGATAGTTAGGAACGCCTCGAAGGACGGTGCGAATTATCTTGAGTTTAACAGTACAGACAGTTTGCTAGCCTTTTACAAGGAGCACACCAACCTTCTTGTGGGGATCGAATTCGAAAAAGGTAAAGAGAAAGGACTTGCTTACACACTTCGCGTCCCGGTAGGACTCCCTTCACCAAAGAACAAACTTGTCGGTGAGTGCAGCTACATACATGTAATGCTCGAATGCATTATTTTCATTGATTATCTACGAGATCAACCGCTTATATTAGGAGCGGAATATTTTAAGAGGTGTGGTTCTAAAACCAGTATGACAGGGTGACATTTGTATTCAAATCTAAACTCCATGACCTGAAACATTGACCCACCACCTGAAATGTGAACTAGTCAGCTTAGCAGGTGGAACTATCAGGCAGAATGTTGCTTTCTTGTTCGTTCGAAATTAACCTGTATTGTTAAATAAGCAATTTTACATCGATATTTTGATTTCAAATTTCCCTTTTCTCCAAACCTCTTAAGTAAAGAATCAAGGACGTGAAAATTTCACATCGTATACCCTCTTTAGAGGCCATGGCCCTGAAAACGATTGGTTGTTTGGTATCTCATACCCATCCAGACTAGGGAAAGATAGTATCCTCCCCCCCTGAAATGTTCCTACTTCAAGCATACATCTCATGAGATTATTTTGACATGATTGGGTGAAAAATTGTGTCAGCCTAAATTAATATGTGGGGTGGGTGGGGAAGGATATCATTCTTGTGTCGAGCGTTGCGACTTGAAAATGTATTAACACAAATATTCAATTTTTTTACTATTTTCCTTCTTTTAGGTCTAGGTGAATGTCATGATGTCGACAGTTTGTTTTCGGGCGGCTGCCCTGCCAATTCTTATATTGTAATGAAAATAGCAACCCTGCAAACAATAATTGATGCTGCTATTACAAAGGTAATTGTTGGTGATATATAATTTTTCCTTGGATGGACCCAGGAATTAGTGAGGGGAGGAGGGGTTTCCAAAAAAGGAGGCATACCTCTGCCAAGGTCAGGAGGCATGCCCCTGCCAAGAATGTTGAATGAAAGGTCTTGAAAAAAGTTATTTCCAGTGTTTTAAGGGATAATTGTAAAAAAAAAAAAAACAAACAAACAAACAATGAATTGCACGTTTTAGATGATTTTCAGTTCAGTGTCAGGGGTTCAACCAAACTACCTGGATCACCTCTGGATCTGCCTTAGTGTTTTTTTTATATGTAGCTTGTATTTCAGTTTACTTAAAGTTGTCAATAATCTTTCAACATTGTGTGGGAAAATGGGATGGTAAGCAGACTGATTATAGAATATAAAAATCACTTGTGTTTTTTTTCATAATGCAATACTTGTCTAATTTAAGTATCAGCCATACATAGTGAGTAAAGAAAAGAACTTCTGGAAGGTATACAAGGTTATTTTCAGACAAATTTTAATTTTAATCCTCTGATTTTCACATGCAACAGAGATTTGTTGGAAGATTTGGAGATTTGGAAGTGATTCAATTGATGATATTTTTCTTGTCAAAGGTTGAGGTGAATTTATCTCACTACAATGTCCCAGACATCCAGGCAAAGATGATGCCAAAGGGATCTTACAAGCAACCTGTAGGAGGGTTTGCCATCACTATTTTGATATACATGGTCATGGCCTTTGCACCTTACATCACTGTACTGCTTGTCAATTTAGTGCAAGAGAAGGAACTTAAACTGAAGGAGTTGTTGAGGATCATGGGTACTTCTGATATCGCATACTGGTTGTCATGGATTATTACATATGCAGTAATCATGCTAGTAGCCGTCCTCATTTTGAATGCAATCACAATACTGGGAAACATATTTTCCAATAGCAACTATATTGTTATAGTCATCATCTGCTACCTGTATGGCTTAAGCATCATCACAATGTCTTTCATGTTCACACCATTCTTCAAAAGTGCCAAGAGTGCTGGCCTTTTTGCATCTCTGGTGACAACAATTCTTGCTACTATTGCCATACCCTTGGTCCTTGTTGAAGTGTCTAATGTGGTGAAGTGGTTATTGTCACTCTTTTCACCAACAGCATTTGCTCTTGCCTTGTATGAGGTAGGTTGATGTTATTTTCTTTCTCATTCATCACACCATTATTTGCAAATTGAATGCATTTAAAGAACTATTAGGCTGTTAAAACTCATACGTAGAATAGACATTCACTTGTCTCAAATTGAAGAAGTAGGTATAGATGAATGAAGATATTGGTTTGTCCACAGTTCCTTGAAAAATTGTTCCATATTAAAATTTTAGGCTG